TTGCAATTCTGTGTAATTTTTAAAGTTTGTCAATTAAGAATAAAAATATTTGGACTTTTGATAACAATTGTGTTAAAACTATAGAACTTCAAAGGATAAATTAATATATTAATAATATTTAATCTTTCAATCCTTCAGCATGGGGTACCTCTAAGTCTCAAGCATCTTTAAGAAAAATTTTACCATTTCCTCCAGAGAATTTTGAACATCTTTGGTTATTGGTTTCTAAGTATTTCATATTTGTTAGTGAAATACTCTTATAAATTTGCATGCTGTTTATTGCCATAGGGTAGAAATACAATTGATTTTTGTATAATATTTGTATAGATGCATATTAAAATCTTATTATAATACTTTGTAGATTTTTAAAATTTTCTACAGAAAAACATATTATCTGAAACTGTCAGTTTTGAGTTGAAAGAAGGACTGATGACAGAAATCCTTGCCTTTTCCCAGTCTCAAAAAGAAACCTTTGAGAATTCATCACAGTCACTGCAGATGTGAGGTAGAAACCCTCTAATTGAAGTGCCCTCCATGCCTAGTTTAAGAACATGTATATCGGGGGAGAAATGAACCAAGCCTTGTATGCACATATGAATAATAAAAGAAAAATGAAAAAAAAAAAAAGAACATGTATATCAGGAATAAATGTTAAATGTTTAGCAAATGCTTTTTCTCCACCTCTTGAGATGATCATGATCAAATCTCTTTAGTTTCATTGTCTGGTAGGTAATAGTAATTAATTTTCTCATGAAAAATAAAATAAAAACTCTGGGTTCTTGGCACCAACCTGCCAAGATCATGGTGTCTCATCACAGATCTATCTTGTGAATAGTTTGGGATTTTGTGTCTATGGTCCTAAGTGAAATTGGGCAGTAACTTTCCTTTCTCATACTTCATTTGGTATCAGATATTTGAGGATGTGATAAAATGAATTAGGGAGTCTCCCTCTTTTTCTATTCTCTGGAAGGGTTTAAGTTTGGAATTATTTATTTCCTGAATATTTAACAGTACTCACCAAAGAAGTCATTTAGGTTTGGAATTTTCTTTCTAGAAATATTTTAAACTACTGAGTCAATTACTTCCATGGCTATAGAATCATCCTTTAAACTACTTTGGTAAGTTGTTTTTCAAAAAGTTTGTTCATTCCTTCTGCATGTTACAAATTTATTGGCTTTATATTGTTCATAATATAAATAAATACCACGACAGAAATAGTGGTGTCCTCTTTGGTTCCTGTGTAGGTTGTGTGTGCCTGCTGTCTTTATCATGATTAAATTTTCCAGGAGTCTATCACTGTTGTGGTAAGCTTCATAAAAACAGAGTATACTTTTGATTTTTAAACCTCTTTTTATTTTCTTTGAATTTGTGTTGTTTTTCTAACTTACTCAGATTCTTCTCTTAGTAATATTCAGCTTTTCTTTGTTTCTATAGACACACATAGGTCCATCAATTTCCTCCACATGGTGTGTTAGTTGTAATGCATAAATTTTATTAAGCATTTTCACTATTCCCCAGTTGCACTTACATTCCAGTTTCCACTTGGGTTCTTCTCTGACTCAAGGGCTATTTAGAATTGTGTTAATTTTCCAAAATATGGGGGCTGATGAAATCATTTGCTTACTAGGTAAATGCCAGTTCAAAACTATCTTCCTAGTGAATCGAGCCTTTCATTTTATTAAGTGACTCTTTATCCCTAGCAATTTCTGCCTTAACATTTTTTCAGATATAGCTACATCAATTTTCTGTTTGTGCATATAACTTATGTTCAAACTTTCAATATTTTATGCAATTGTAACAGCATGCAATTTGCTTCATTTTTCTTTACTTGCATAACAGTCCATTTATATGTAATGCAATTACTTACATATTTGTGTCACATCTATTATATTAGTCTGTTTTCTGTTAACAGCACAATATTACAGTCTGGATAAGTTATACAAGTTTATTTTGCTCCACAGTTCTGGTCCAAGGTTGAGAGATACATCTGGTGATGGCTGGTCTTCTTGCTACAGGAGGTCCAAGGCAGCTGAGGGCATAACATGGAGAGACAGGGAGCTCATGTGTGTGTCCCAATCTCTTTCCCACTTCTTATAAAGTCACCAATATCCAATCATGGGGGAACCTCCCTGATCACCTTATCTAATACTAGTCCTCTCCCAAAGGCCTCGCCTCTAAACAATCAGATTAAGTTTCTACTCTCTTAATACTTCACAATGGGGACTAAACTCCAACATAAATTTCAGAGGAGTCAAACCATTATCAAACCATAGCATCTATTATCTTTTTATCCTGCTTCATTTATGTTTATGATTTTCATTCCATTTTCCCTTATACTAGCTTTAAATATATATACTAATTTCCTTTTAACAATCATTTGAAGTGGTTGCACTGGAAATCATGTTTACATTTAAAATTATGTCAGTCAGTACCTTCATTCTCTTCTCAGACCATTCATTTATAGCACTTACTTCAACCACTACCCTATCAACCTTATGTATAATTCATGTGTATTTTAAATCTCTCATTTTTCAACTGCATGAAGAAACACTATTGCTCCATTTGGCAAATACACCTTTAGATTCATACATATTTACACTGGTATTTTATTCTTTCTTTATTCACTTTCCTACTACATAGAGCACATGCTTTAGGCTTTCCTTTAGAAAGTCTAAATCTGCAGGTGACAACCTTACTCTTATTTTGTTGTCTGAAACCATATTCCACCATCATTCTTAATATATATTTACTTGCACATATTTTGTTCTTAACACATTAAATAGTAACTCAACTGGTTTCTGGTTTGTTTTCTTTTGAGAAGTCAGCTGAAGGTCTACCTGGAAGATTCAAGTTACCACTTCAGCCCCCTGCATCTTGCACTGCAATTTCTGCTGCTTACAAGGGTCTACTGAGATACAGCATTCACTATGTTACATGAAATGCAATGATTACCTATCAATAGGCAGCAAGGGTCAATGGTAGCCTAGCATTCATGACTACCCAGCCCCACAAGGTTCAGGAAAACTGCTCAGGGCAGGAGTCTCATCTGTACTCACCCCACTTGCATTGTAAGTTCCTGGAAGGCAGTACATCCTGGATTTTTATATCTTAGAGGTGACCTGATATGCTGAGCTACTGTGTAGAAGGAACAGAGGCTAGGCTATGTTGTATAGCCCCTCCTTATCTCCACTTTTTTTTTTTTTGCAGAACCAGGGCTTGAACTCAGGGCCTACACCTTGAGCCACTCCACCAGCCCTTTTTGTGTTACGTATTTTCAAGATAGGGTTTCATGAACTAACTGCACAGGCTGGCTTTGAACTGTGATGTTCCTGACCTCTGCCTCCTACATGGCTAGGATTACAGGCGTGAGCCACTGGCACTGGGCTTAACTCCGGATTTTGCATTACCAGCACCTTTTTCCTATGAACTACAATTGGGAAAGAGAGAAAGAGTTGAGTCACCCACCATACAGGGACTTGCCCTGCACTTGCCAATGTTCTTTTGAAGGTTAACTGGAACTTTTGCTTGGCAGCTTGAACAAACTTTTGTCTTTGGCATTCTACTGTTTCACTACCCTGGGACCGAGGATTTCAGATCTTCCTGTTTAGGTTAAGTTTGTGCACTGGTATTTTTGATTTGGAAAATTCTCAAATATTCCTTCTGTCCCATTTTGTTTCTTTCAGCACTTCTGTTCTCAAGCTACTTCTCTGCACAGCATGCTGGATAATTTCCTCTGTCCTGTATTGCAGTCACGAACTCTAATCTCATGTCCAGCTCATCTTCTGTTGAACCTGTACACTGAGGTTTAATTTTTATTCTACTTTTTCAGTTTTAGAAGTTCTACTTGGTTCTTTTTGAAAGAACCAAGTCATTACTAGTCATAATGTATAAGGCCTTGTTTCCTATAGACATTTTAAGCAACTTTTATGCTTAAACATATGGTTTGTATTATACACATGCTAATTCCAATATGTGAGTTTTCTGGTGGTCTGTCTCCACTGTCTTAGTTGTGGTGCTAGCTTATTATGTGGAGGTTATTTATTTAAACTTGAGACACTCACATTCCCAGGCAAATTATGTGTGACCCTGGTATTCTCCAAAAATATCACCAGGCATTTCTCTGGGTCCATTTTTACATAACTTTTAGTTTAAATTTTGTATTAGTGCTCAAATGACTTGAATTTGTGATGGTATACAACTTTTCACAAGCACTGTCACTCTTAGAGTACAGTCCTTAGGGCCTTGACTCTAAGGAAAAAGTGTTTATGATTTTCTTCTACTTCGGGTAGGCGCTAATCTTAGTCTTCTGCCCACAGTATTCCTAAAGACAAGAAAAACCAAACCTGAAATTCTCCCTAAGGGCAGAAGAGGCAGCAGCAGTCTATCTTAGCAAGACTGGCCTTATAATTACTTAATCTCTTATGACATTGCTAGCTCCTAGATGTCTAAAATGCTTTTTCCTATTCTACCTAAGTTTTAGTTTTCAGTAGGAACTGCCCAGATGAGGACAGTCTGCCACATTACTGAAAAGGAAGTCTAATACATTTTGAAAATTCTATGTATTTCATAGCATCTTTTCTCACTTTTTACAGAATTTCCCATGTCACTGAAAATTCTTTGTAAACCTAAAGGAACTCACTGTCTAGGGTGGTTCACTCTGCTTCACATGCTTTGACCCTCTGGTGGGCCAGCCCAGACTCGTTTCCATGGCAGTATGGCAGGTTTCCAGTAGCACAGGTGGAGGCGTGCCAGGCCTTGAGGACTAGACCCTAAATCTGCATAATGTCCCTACCCTATTCTTTTGAGCAAACCAAGTCACAAGTCCAGTCTAGATTTGAAGAACTGGCAAAGATCCATATATTGCATCCATACCATCTAAAAATAATACTTCACCAAAACTGAAATAATAAATTTTGGGCATTCTCAAACCAAAATAAAATATTTTAAAAACGAACAATAGTTGAAATAAGAAGTTCTGAATTTTGTTTCATTATGCTTTATTGTATTTACTAAAGTTTTGGTTCTGTAGACTCAGTAAGACTAAATTGCCGACTGGGTTTAGTAGCTTCGTTCATCAGCTCATGCAACTGTCCAATCTGCTCATCCCGAAAGTCATCGAGTTTTTCTTCTGGGAGAGAGATGCCAAAGCATGTTTTCTCAGATGAATTTTTTCTGTTGTCTTTAGCTTGTTGCCATAATACTGCTGCATACACCTAGTAAAAAGAAAGAAATCAAGGTTGTAGGTTGAAAATGAGACCTATGTTCACATAGTGAACTATGTAGATTGAAGGATTCTAATTCCAAGTCACCTATTTTTCTCCATCATTAAATTTTTCATATTTGGTTAGGAAGAAACAATATAATCAGATCTTTACCATTCAGTGATAATTTTAGCAAAGTTCTTAACCTGTAAATAAGTGATGGAGGAGACTGATGGTTTCGGAAACATGCATGTACTAGCCAAAACAGTATACAAATTCTTCTGGGACCATAGCTTTCATCAGAGGGTCTTCATGACTAAAAGTGGGTCCCAAAATTCACTGTCTTTCCTGTTTTCAACTAAAAATTTAAAACACTAAGAAAATTTTTAAACTCTTTAATAATTAACAGTCATCTTTGTCAAGAAAATAATCTGTATTCTTCATGTGGTGATTTGTTCTTAGTCATCATCTTCAGCCTAAACTTCCAACGATCTTCAGTGACACAGACTCTTTAATGGGGCAGGAAGTAGCAATGTACTTCAGCTGCTGAAGTTAAAGACTGTTTACACACTGATAAGTGAATGAAGTGGAACTCTTAAAGATGCTGCTGCTCAAACTGGCCTGAGATTCTTCAATTTCTTCTAATTGCTAGATTTCCAGCATCATTGAAGCAGCTTTTGTTTTTACCCAAGCATTCCAAACTTTCACTTGGATTGGAAATAAATATTTTTTTCATGCTACAAAAATTCATGTCATAAAATTACAAAACAACATTTGCACATATCTTAAGCTTTATTAATTCCACTTCTAAGAATGTGTCTATGATATTTAAGATAAGTCTTTGTTGTGGGGTGGGTGTTTCACAGTATCTCTGGTCTCTAACCACCAGATGCCAGCAGCAGCCCTCCCTCCTGATAATGGAAAACACCTCCCATGTTCCCTGGCAGGCAAAACCACCCCTGACTGTGAAAAGGTAGCATGCATAAAAATGTTCATTGGGACATTGAGTAAATTTCAAAGTTTTAAACAAACAATGGAATATAAAGAGTTAACAGTAAATTAACTAAATGTCAGGGACCAACATTAATAAGTTTTTTTTAAAAAGAATATAAAAAGCAGGTTTAAAGAAGTTAAATTCATTTGCAGAAATGGAAAAACAGATCTCAAATTAATATAAATGTAAAGGGGCCTTGAATAACTACAACTATCTTGAATAGGAACAAAATGGGAAGACTGATGTGAATTTCAAAAGTTATACAAAACTACAGTAATCAAAACAACATAGTTAGCTCACTAACCTCTTAAAAACAGTGTCAGATCTACTCAATGGACTTTAGCAGAGATTGTAAGGTTAGATTTTTATTTTAGAGTTTTTGTCTAAAGCAAGATCCCATTTGGTGCTGATAGTGTGATATCCACAGCAATGGGAAAATGAGAAGGAGAAAAAAGAACTACTGAAGGGGGACCCCAAATGCTGCAAATAAACTCCAAAAATCTCTAGTTAACCGCTTAACTATGCATGCTCAGGATGGAGTCAAGATGCCTAGCTTTGGTTATAAAAAAAGAAAGAAAGAAAGAACAGAGTAGATATTTCCACTGCTTTTTATCAAAGTGGACACAGAGTTTGGAGCTTGAGTTCTGCCAAGTTAACTGTTTGCTAAAATAGAGTTAGAAAAGGAACAATATTTCTAAAATATATCATTTGCAGTGTTTGGGGAATCCAAAATTACTAGAAACATGAAGAGAAAATCAGACAATAGAATTAGCAAGAAAAGACCTTAAAGCACCTATTTCAAATATGTTCAAGTACACAAAGGAAAATATGGTCATAATAAATATATGAGAGATCTTAGCAGAGAATGAGAAACAGTCCGAACCAAATGCTGTAGGAATCTTTAAAAATCCCTTAATAGTGTGAAGATGAAGAATAAAAATTCACAAACTTGAAAACATACCAATAGAAATTATTCAGTTACAAAAAGAAAGGAAAAACTATTAGAAAATTAATAAATGACCTGTGGGACAATACCAAAAGATTTGCCATATATTTAATTGAAGCCCACAAAAGAATGAGGCAGAAAAAAAATTGAAAACTGATTCTTCCAAAAAATAAATTTAGAATTTCAAGTTTACCAAGTTCTAAGTAGGATCAAGTTAAAAAAAAAAAAAAAGCTATGCTTATGAACGCCATAGGAAACTGCTGGAGAATAAAGCAAAAGTATTAAAGTTTAAAAGTAGAAAATATCAATTGTTTATAAATGTATATGTACAAAACATAAAAACAAGCATGGGAACAACAGATACCAACACCAGGATAGCAATTACCTCTCAGGAGTAATCAGGGGGAAGATTGGAGTAGAATTTTAGGTACTCCTTTACTGTTTTACTTTTTAAAAGAGTAATCTAAAGCAACTACTGTAAAATGTCAACATTTGTTAAATCTAAGTGGTGGATACTTCGGTGAACATCACTTCTTTCTATCTTTTTATTATTGTTGTGCTGGGTGGGGATACATTGTGGCTTTTACAAAAGTTCTTACAAAATATCAAATACATCATACTTGATTCACCCCCTCCAATGTTCTCCTTTATCCCCTGCTCCTTCTATTTCTGGAATAGTTTTAACAGGTATTTTTCCATTTACATACATGTGTTGAAATCCTTTCATAGTTTAAATATGATTCCAGAGACTATTTTACTTGGCGTATAATTTACAGTAAGGCACCAATCTAATACTTACCTTACAATTTATGGTTCCTGAGGAAACTAGAAATATATTTCACACATGAGTAGTTATCAATGAACATCTTAAATGGAAAGACTGTCACAAACAGGGGAAAACAAAACATTTCCCCCAACCCTTGCCCACTAATCTTTGGCCCTATGTACTTGCAACATTTGTTCTGGTGTGACGCAGTATGGGACAGCAACTTGGAAGTGTCCAGATATAAGAAGAAACAACAATAAAATATGAGTTTTCTAAATAGGCTACCCTGCTAAGGAAATCTACTTTGACACAAAGGAGACAGAAAAATGATGCACATAAGCTATAGCATCTTTTGGTATCAAGCTCTGATTATGCTGCCTCCAAGAAAAAGCTAACTTGTGACTCTTGTGAATAATGTCTTGAACTAAAAAGAATGCTCAGTTCTTCCTCAGAAAGTTATAGGAACTCTATACTTCTTTTGCGACTGCCTTCTATTAACTCAAAATAAAAAGTTTTGAAAAATGAAAAATTAGCCAGGTACCAGTGGCTGATACCTGTAATCCCAGCTACTTGGGAGGCTGAGATAGAGAGAACTGTGGCAAATAGTTTGCTGAGACCACCCCCCCCATCTCCAAAATTAACCAGAGCAAAATGGACTAGAGGTTTGAATCAAATGGTGGAGTGCTTGCAAAGCAGCCCTGGGTTCAAACACCAATCCTACAAAAAAAGGAAAAATTTAAAGAGATTTAAGAGACATCAGCTAATTACAATGACTTGATTCTTATTAAAAAGCCTGGGGGCCTAACAAGCAACAGGCCCTGAGTACAATTTTCAGTGACAAATACAGATGTATGTTTTTTACATGTGTAATTCTTATCCAACAGGAAACTTTAAAAACTGACAAATTAACAATTACTAGCTATGTACCAGAAATGGTGGCACTTGCCTATAATCCCAGCACTCAGGAGGCTGTGGCAGGAGGATCACAAGTTCTAGGCCACTCTGTCTCAAAAAAACCAAAACAAAAACAGAAACAGAAAATAATGATAGCTTTGAAAGTGTATATATATTGGGTATCTTTGATCTAAAAATCAGAGCTGCTCAACCAGTAAAGTGTATGCATTCCAAAATCAGAAAGTCTTTGGAATCTGAAATACTTCGGATAAGAGCTATTCATCCTACAATAGTAGTCCTATGCTTCTTTGAGTGGTAGATACTGAATGAAGTATTTGTAATTGTAAATTATTTCTGATTTGCTTTAAAGGATCTGGAGAAAAGAGGAAAAGATAGTGGGGCAGGCCATGAGGTGATAAATGTTGAAGTCAAATGATAGGTACAATGTTGTTCATTATGACTTCTGAACATTTATGTGTTTCAAATCTTCCCATTAATTTAAAGATGTGTGTATACACACAAACACATGAGCATTATAACTTAAAATGAGAAACAAATTTCAACCAAGAAAATTACTTAAGTATGCAGACCATTCAGTCATTTCTAAATTTCAACTGTAGGTTTGTAAATATGTGTGTATACACACATACACATGAGCATTATAACTAAAAATGAGGAACAAATTTAAATCAACAAAATTACTTAGGTATGCAGACCATTCAGTCGTTTCTAAATTTCAACTGCAGGTTTGAAATTTTATTGTCTACAAAGCTTCCCAAGTGCTGAAAAGCTAATCCTGACCTACCTAGTCTAACCACAGGTTTGTAACTATCAACATTAAATCATAGCTGTCAATAATTTTGAGGGATACAAAGTATCAATAATGAATGAGGGATACAAAGTGTCTTCAAAGGTAAATTTGTAAATCACCAAAGAAAAAAAAATCAGGTTGTTTTCCTTGCGTTCAAATATTGTCCATTTTTTTGTTATCTCAACTGCTAAAATACCCCTCAAATTATTTCCTTACAGCTACATCAGGGTTCAAAGAAGAAAATTAGTTATCTGAGAGTATCTTTTCTCAATCTTGAAACTTTTAATGATTACCTGGGCAACAGTTGTGTCCCTTATAGCTATTACTGTTAATTAATCTTGCTTCCTCTTCACACTCTGCTGCTGTCAATTAACCATTTCAGTTTCTCCCACCTCTGTAGTAAGTATGCACTAGAGAACACACCAACATTTTTTAATGAAGAAAGCCTATATTAACCTGCATTTTTCTTCTTAAACACCTTAGCATTATAGTTTGTTTACCATACACATCTTTAAATAAGATATACTGACGTCATGTTTTACAAGAATTTTCTCAGTAAAAGATTTCAGAACTGTCATGTTCAGCACATAACTACCAAACCTTGGTTGCTTCA